ATTGATTAGAACATTTTGAATATAGTTCATTTCAGTTGTGAATAGATGAATATTTGAAAAGCATCAATTGTATCAGTTTATACAAAAGTGTTGGTTATGGCCTCACTGCTCGACCTATGGTAGCATTAGCATCAGTTGGGAGCCGATTAGAAATGCAGATACTTAGACCACTCTCCAGACCTACTGTGTCAAATCAGACATTTATGGGACTCCTTGGTGCTTCCTATGCACTAGTATATGTTGTAAATCAGGGTTTTAAAAAAATTCAATGTTTTGTTAGGCTAGATCCCCTAAATAAGTGAAGTAAGCCAGATGTATATGTATAAGCATGATAGGTGACCTCTCATACTTGGCCTCCTCCTAGTAGGCATGGTGGGGCTGTGTTGACATAGAAAGCATTAACTTCATCTAAAAGGGACAGGCTGCCCGGCCTGCATGATTCAGTGGTTGAGTGTTGAGCTATGAACCAGGAGTTCACGGTTCGATTCCCAGTCAGGACACATGCCGCAGTTGTGGGCTTAATCCCCAGTGTGGGCATGTAAGAGGCAGCCAATCAATGATTCTCTCTCATCATTGATGTTTCTAGCTCTCTCTCCCTCTTCCTTCCTCTATGAAATGAATAAAAAATATTTTTAAAAATAAAATAAATAAAAGGGACAGGCTGCCACACAGATCAAGATGATTGCAGGACCAGTGAGACCTTTGAGCAATTCAAGAGAAAGAAACACAAACTTGCAAGTAGAATTTATGACCTCAAACACTGACAACAAAATTCCAATTTTTTAATATTGATTTCAGAGAGGAATGAAGAGGGAGAGAGAGATAGAAACATCAATGATGAGAGAGAATCATTGATTGGCTGCCTCCTACACTCCCCACCCTGGTGATCAAGCCTACAACCCACAACCAGGCCATGTGCCCTGACCGGGAACCATACGGTGACTTCTTGGTTCATTGGTTGACGCTCAACCACTGAGCCATGCCGGCCAGGCCAAAATTTAATTATTTTTAAAGCAGAAGAACTGTAAGGGTCAAAGAGGACACACATGAGTGACCATTCTGGTTCAAAGGTCTCTACAAAGTTTCATCTAAATGAATAGACTTTCAGGAATACAATGAACACTTCCTGACTCTTCACTAATACAGACTTCTTTAGTTCTGCAAGTCAGAAAACCTCTGTTTTCTCTAGCCATTTCATTCATTCTTTCTTTTATTACTTTATTCATCAATGCTCATTTAGTGTCTAGTCTGTGCTGAGGTGGCCCCAGGCCAGGCGCAGAAGACTAAAGATGAATAACATAGAATCCACATGTCTTCTCATGGCTTACATTTCATAATGATAACCTTATGTTATGAAATGCAATATTTTATGTAGGGGTTGCTACAGTAATTTGTCACATCCCCTTTGAGAGATGTTCTTAAGAAGGTTTCTCTCTAGCTTGAGTAGTTCACAAATCTAGGTGGGGAGACCGAAGTAGAAGGTACAGCTTATGTAGACAAATGGAGTAAAGGAGTTTTAAAAGAGGATGCAGTTAAGCAGAAAAAAAAATCCCCAAGAAGTGAATTCTGAACAGCATGTGTAGCACCTTGGGTGATTTTAAGATGTGAACGTTTCTTGAAACACTTCTTCAGCTTCATAATTTCTGGCAGACAAGAAGATTTACTTGATCTTCACACAGAAGGGAGAACTTAGAAGCCCATTTCTCAGGTAGATTAAAGACTTAATTAAGTGATTTAACCACATTTTGCATTTTTTCTTTTTTTCTAGTTGCAGGTTTCTCATTTCTCCAGTGGGTTTGAGTGAACTTTATCTGTCTTTGTCAGAAAAGTTCCTGTTACCTCTGGAGAAGCAGTGACATTTAGGAGAAAGCCCCACACTGGTAACAAACACTTCTCAAGGTTTTATATTCATTTGATGGCAGCTGTGATCAAGTGTAATAAAAATTAACTGAACATTTTATTTAAATACCACTTGTTGATGATCCCACAATGGTCAATGAGCAAAGGTTTAATTAGTCTGTTACTCAATATCTGAATTTAGAATTATGTTTTGTCTCATTGCATCTGAACTTTTCATTTAATCAATTCTATGTCAAATAATGTTTTGATAAAAAATTAGTAACTTTTTATTTTATTTTCTTGAGACCAAATATTAATTTGTCCTTAAGCATACTTATCACCAAGTAAAGAGGCATAGAAGACTCTTTATCCTTCAGTATTCACCCACTCTCTATATATATTCTCTCTATATAGATAACAAGACATTCACCTATGTAAAAATTTTCATGTTTTAGGTTCATCATTTCCATTCTTACTGTGAAGGGGTTTTGCACCGTTTTTACTTTTCATCCCAACTTAGAATCTCTAGCCCTCATGCATTACAAAAATCTCTGCACTCAGCAGGGATATTAATATTCAACATTATTTCTCTCCAACATTTCCCAATTTTTCTTCCCCAATCAACAAAATACCAATGTGTCTACTTTTACTCATCCTAGAGAGTAGGGGGAGCCTAGATTCACCCAGAAAACTTGAGTCTATTCTCTAATGCAATACTTTAATTTAAACCTTCTTTATTTTCTCTCTCTCTGTCTCTCTTTAAATATCTCCCAATCACCTCCGCCATCCATATTTTGCTCTTTAGCCACATCATTTACTTTTTTTGAAATGGAGATCTGATCACACCTTCCCCTTTCTTGCTTAGAGTACTTCAATGGCTTCTCACTGCCTAGAAGAGAATGAAGCCCAGCCTCCTTATCCAACATATACGCTCCATTGTATGGTGTCTCTCACATGGCCATTCAGAGCTAGACCAGCCACTGCTGAAATGCTTTTATCTCTGAAAGGGACACTCTTGCCTTTGGTATGTGGCTTTTCCTTTTGCACAGTGGTGCACATCACTCCCTTCCCCTGTCTCCCTCTCTCCCGTCTTCTGCGTATCTTCCCAATAGCACACTCCCACTTCACACTCCCTTAGAAAGCACAGTCTCTGGGGACTGTCCTCCTGGATTCTAATTATATCGTTTGCTAGTTCTGGATCTTCAATACGTTGTTCTGCCTCTCAGGCTGTGATAAAAACAAATATGTATAATGAATTTACCATGTGAGAACATAATAAGTGATTAAGACTAAATCCATTAATAATATCACTTTTTTATTTAGTGTTTTTGGTCAGCTTGAGGATAGGAAAAGGCAAACCTATCATGACAAAAGATCTTTAGCAAAAAGCATTACAAAGCCAAATATAAATTATTTGAGGATTATCAATGAATTAGAATCAGTCATTTTCTGTTCTCTTTTGTTGATTAGGATAATTAACACAGTTTTTGAAATTTAAGATAAAAATGAAACAAATTTAAATGAATAAATGCCTATATTGAAAAGAAGTATAGAATATAAAGATAGATATCGCGTAATTACTCAACTGCTTTTCTAATCTCAGTAAGTATTTTATTGGGAGTGTTCCAGTATTTTCAAATTTCAGAATATTTATCCGATCCTATTTTAGGAGACTAGGAGAATGAAAACTTGACATTGTACAAAATCAGACAACTCGTGTAATTACTGTACCATTTAGCCTAGGTATGCGAAAGATTCTACTGTCTCCAGGACCAATTACTTGGATTTGAGGTTTGGAGAGGTACATAGGGTCTGATCTTATGCCAGGCTTAGAATCTCAGGGGATTCTGATGAACAGGAGAAAATAGTTGCTTTCAGCTGATTTCTGGAATGCTATTTAGATCTCTAGTTGGCTCAGGAGTCATATTATACTTCTATTTAAAGCAATGGTCTCAGGCAGTTAGAAGGAGTCCTCATGTTATGCTACCCAGAGGATTTCATGGTTGGTAACAGTATAATGGTTGGGAATTAATGAAGCTATAGTTTAAATAAAGGCAGGCTGCATTCTTAAACATCTGCTAGAACAGAGAGAAGTCTGAGGAAATGTGTGGTGGGACCTCCTTGGCCTCCCCAGCAGCCAAGTTGGCATCCTCCTGAGGCAAAGGCTAAATTTCTGGGAACCTCTGAATTGCCCTGGCGGATTAGGAGGTAGTCACTGTTTCGTTGATTTTTTGATCAATTAAGGACTCTATTAAAAGTGTAGGTGGGGCAATTGTTTCCTGATTTTCTCAGGACAATAGCAGAAACAGGGAATGTTATTGTCAAAACAGGTGTTGTGGTTACCTTAAAGTTGGAGCGAGGAGAGAAGGTAAAATAAAAAAGGAATAAGTAGATTTATTACAAATGATTGCTCTCCCCATCTCTCGGTGTGTATGTGTGTGTCCCTGACTGTCTCTTTCTCTGGTGTGTCTATAACTTTCTTCTATATTAATAAGTTTAAGTGTATGTGTCATGCTCAGTAGACAAACACAATAATCAAAGTTCTTATATAAGCAGAAGAACCTACCTTCTGTTAAAGTGTTGTATTTGACATTATAATAACATCATCTGGTAAGATTGCAATGGTTATGAAGTCTCTAAGTATTGACATTTTTCATGTTTACAATAATGCACAATGCTTTCCATTCCAAGTAGCGTTTACATCTATAGATACATCTGCCTTTAGCGTGGGTCTGAGCAGAATTTATTTCTTTTGCTTTGGAATTTTTCAATTTGAACCTATTGTGAGAGTTGACACATAAATACAACTTTGTTTTCTCTTTATGATTCCTGTCAGTGAGTTTTAATAATTCATTAATTCAATAAACATTTAATAACTGTCTATGCTATCTATATGCCAGCATTGTTAGAGTTTATATGGCATAGAAAAACAAATAGGATGTGGTCCTGTGCTCAAAGAATTCACCATCTGTAAACATTTTTTCTATGTTAAGAATCTCTTCCTTTGTTTTTAATAACAAAGTTTAATGTTTACACTTGATAGAATCTATGGTCTTCAGTATACTTATGCCATTATTTAACTATCTACTTAAATGAAATTTAATCATTTATTTCTCCTTCCTTCTACCCCTCATCATATCTTGGGCCTCTTCTCTGTGAAGCTGAGTCATCCAATGGTGACTATTCCTGAACATGAGACTCTTGATTCCAAAGAGGTAAATGTAAGATACAATTGGAGATCTAGTTATTCATATCTATATAATATTAGTTTGTAGGAATAAACAATCTCATTTAAAAATATCAATAAAATTTTGGTGTTTTTTTTATAAAAGCATTAACTGGCCCACTTTGTGTTGTTCAGAAGAATCTGGCAGTTATATAAGTAAAATTTTGCTGCTTCTCAGTGTGGAAGGTGATACCTGTGTGTAGCACTTTGATTACAAACTAACTCCTTCTATCCTAACTATCTGTGTGATTTCCTCTTTGGATTAATTGGGAAGCCACTGTAGTCTTCTTAGAGGGACAGTAGATGTCCTGTAATACTTATAATGTATCTCCTGAGTCTCAGTCTCTCATAGTATCTAGGTCCCCAGACCCCTAAGTGAGTTTTGCGTATGGCAGGAGCATACAGACTAAAGCATGCCAGTTCAAATATAGCCTCTAAATTTCATGTGAATGTTTAGCCACTTTCAACCTTTGAGGTGAAAGACAAAAAAGAAAAACCCACAAAAATATTTTTATATTTTTAAAACTTTTTTATTTTTATAAATGTTGTACCAAACAAATAAAAAATTCTGTATTTTTTTTTTTAATTTTGTGTCAGTCAAGAGCAAGAATAATTGAACAATATTTTCTTTGTCTACATCCTCAGGCAAAGGGGTAAATGTAAAAAAAAAGTTATCTTTTAAAAAAATAAGTTATCTTTAAGAAATAAGTGAGCTCACTCATTCATTTCAGATACCCTCACAAATGAGCCATGCTCAATTTTGCAGCCTCCAATATTTTTTTGGGGGGATTGGGGAATCATAGTACAAAAGAAGTAGGAAGAATAAAATTCCATATAATATTTAAATACTTTCCCCCAAAGTATCTCTTCCACAATTTAGGGCATATCACTCACTCTTCATAAATTGACATTCCTATTTCTGCAAATTTTAGAAGCTTTATCTTATAAGACCAGTGTGCCTCTCTGTATAACATTAGTTATTAAAATATAAAAGAGATTTTTAAGAATAGGTGTGGATTTATATCCTTGATCACATCTCTGATTTTAAAAAGTAGGATTATTGGTTCAATGAATATGAACATATGGCAGACTTTTGACACATGTAGCCAAATTGCATTTGTGAAAAATTGTAACAATTAATCCTACCAGGAACCTGTCGGGATACCTGTTTCCATGTACACTTGCTGTATTGAGTAGTATTATAATTGCCAATTTATTGAGAGCTTAATATATGTTAAAATGTTACACACTTTTTATGCATTATTTTATTTAATCTTCACAAAACATTTTAAGTTAAGTACTATTATTATTCCCATCTTACAGATGAGGAAACTGAGGCTGAGGGAAGTCAGCTAAAGCCAAATAGCTGGAAACTGTCTGCACAATCAGGAATCCAGATCTGACTGCCTGAAGCCTGTGCTCTTAAGCCCTCTGCTGTACCCTATCTGGCTATCTTCCTTTCTATCTGTATTATCTAATTCTGTCTCCCTTTTAAATCATACTTTAAAATATTTGCAATTTATAAGAGAAATGATCTTTTGTCTTAATTTGCATTTTAAAAATCCTGTATTTTCTGTTATTTTTGTCTATTTTGGTTTTGCATTAAGTAATGCATTTATCTACTGGTATGGTGATATTTTTCTTATTGCATTGTAAACTCCCTTTATATATTAATGACATTAATTCTTTGTCAAATGTGCTAGCCCTTTCAGTGTGATGGTGGCAAATTGTGTGAGACTAAAAAATCAGACAACTATATATGTCCAAGAAGAGGAGAAAGGTTGAATAAATTTTGTACATTCCAAGAGAATGTATAAAAAATAACAATGTTCTCTTTCTTTCAAACTATAATTGGCTGAAGTTCACATAGGCTAGATCTATATAAATATAAATGTTTCTACACAATAATAGAAAGTCAGTTGGTTGATTAAATAACAAAAGCATTCAGATGGGATAATAAATACTAAATTAAGAGCTTCTGAATGTTAGGTAATGATGAAAGACTGTTGCAAGAACAACAGGTAGAGATAGTATTGTAATATTTACATTTTTTGCACCAATTACCTTAACCCTAGAGACAAAACTTAAAATTAAGCTAGTGAGCAAGATTGTCAAAAAGTGGTTTCAAGCTCATATTTGGAATATATGAAAAGCACCATAAAAAAAACTAGAGTTTGAAGTTTAGCAATTGTGAGACAGTAAGTTAGATAGTATTAAAAGAAATGTAAATAATTAAACAAAAGGATATTTTATGTTTCTATTGTTCAGTGTTTTATTTCTTAATAACATTGGGACATTAACAAATTTTATAGTTTCTTAGGATATGTGGGCAGACTGTAATATTGATCCCGTTCCCCCCCCACCCCCCAACCTCTCTTTGTTATTTAAATATCTGCTAAATTATCCTTTTTTACATAGCAATTTTGGCCTAGGAAGTAAAGCATCCAAGTTACCAACCCAGTACAAATAAACAATTATGGAAAAATCCTTCATCAGATCTCAAAATTTACCCCTTAGTGTGTCTCCCATTTTCTAAAGACAGCAATCTGTTTTTCTTGCCACCATACTCACATTTCTTGTATTTCATTATGCTGTTTAAAGATTCTAGTTTTTTTAAATTAGCTTGGTAATTCATTTAAAACAAACAGACATCAGATTTATCTGATTTGACTTGTTCATTGTTTTCATAAGTCATATGATTTATAAAGTACATTGAAAAAGAACTAACTCAAAACAATTCCACTTATCATCTAGTTCAGTAGTTGTCAACTCTGGCTGAACATAAAGACCTCCTTTGTAAAAACTCCAAGAGCACAGTTCCACTTCAGGCAAATTGAATCAAGAAGCTCTGGAGGTGAACAAAGACATTGGTTGCTATGTTTTCAAATCTTGGTGATTCAAATGTGCAACAAGAGTTGAGATCCTCAAATTCAAGCTTCTTCATTGGCGGCTTGGGAAAGCCAATCAAATCAATTGTGGAAACAAAAACTTGAAAATAAAAGCAGGAGAATTATTTTAAAATTAGCCTCAGCCCTGCTGGAGTGACTCTGTGGTTGAGTGTTGACCTATGAACCAGGAAGTCACGGTTCGATTCCTGGTCAGGGCACAAGCCCAGGTTGTGGGCTCGATCTCCAGTGGGCAGTGTGCAGGAGGCAGCTGATTAATGATTCTCTCTCATCATTGATGTTTCTATCTCTCTCTCCCTCTCCCTTCCTCTCTGAAATCAATATTAAAAAAATAAAACATAAAAATTTAGTTTCAGGGCCGTAACCGGTTTGGCTCAGTGGATAGAGCGTTGGCCTTCGGACTGAAAGGTCCCAGGTTCGATTCCGGTCAAGGGCATGTACCTTGGTTGTGGGTACATCCCCAGTAGGGATTGTGCAGGAGGCAGCTGATGGATGTTTCTCTCCCATCCATGTTTCTAAATAAAATATATTTAAAAAAATAGTTTCAGGGAATGCTTTGAATTAATAAAACGTGGGCCACATGTTCTGATCTGCCATAAATGTTTAACCTGTGCTTTACCCTGTGTAGATTAATTTTGAGAGATCTGTTTTATGTTGAGTTTCACTATAATTTATTTAGGAACACCTAATATTTTGTTTTGGTTTTCTATGTATTCCACACAGGTTTGGAAAATACTTAGGCTAAGGCTGGGCATAGCAATTGGTGCAAGCTGAGTCTGGAGGCCACTAGGCTCCAAAGAATGTTTTATTTAGCATTTTATGAGGCACTTAAAAAATATTTGGTCATTGATGAATCCTTCTACAAGCAGATGAGATTCCAAAATAATTGATTTGACTGTTGTGGTCAGCTGACTGATCAATTTTCAAAGAAGGTCACTTTCATAAATTTCAATTATTCACACCAATGCAGCAATCTCCAAGAAGGTATATAGCTAACACCATTTAATTTCAAGCTAACTCCCTGCCTGAGATAAATGACTTTTTAGTAGAGTTACTCAGAAGAAAATGCATTCTAGTAGCAATAATTATTTCTGATTATATCCATCATGTCTTGTGAATTCAGCAACTCTTTGATCGACCACCACTCTGTAACCCACTTACAGGTTTAATTGTGAAAGTTGTACTGGGGAATGAGATATAAACAGACCCACCATTTTCATATCAACTGGAACATGTGGCCATTGGCCTCTTTTATTTTTAACTTGAGGGTCAATTGATTTCCAAAAACATTAGATGCATTTGATTCTGACCTTTCATATTTATTCTTTATTAACACCACTTGAGAGCTAATCATTTACTAACTGCCCATAAAACACACACCTGGCAAATCCGTCTCCTGTTTTCTTATTCCATCTCTTTGCAAATTTTGATCAACATTTAAGGGTTGGCAAGATCACAGTTCTGCTAGGAAGGGGACTATAAATGATTTGCTGCCTTGGTGTGTCTAAACTTTTTATTGTGCTCATTTTATTGTGAATTTCAGAATCTCCATTGATGTCTAAAGTTCTAATCTAATGGGACAAGCATCTCATTCCTCTATCTTTATTCTCCAGATGACAACATAGAAAAAAGAAATTAAGTGACTTGTCCATGGAAGCCAGTCTCATTTTCTGGTTTGATTCAAGGGTAAAATTGAAATTATCAAGAAGAATGGGATCACTATATTCCCTTTAGGCAATTGTCCTAAATATTATTTTTCAAAATCAAGCTTTGATAAATCTCAGATTGAAGAGTTCAAGGTTGTAATTTCAGGCAAGAACTTGGAATAAGGCTATTGGAATAAATTCTAATTAAAAGAAGATTCATATGTTTTGATAAACAACTGTACAGAGGGTAAATGTGTCTTATAAAGACACCTAATATGAGCACCCGAATAGATAGCATCATGCAGGTAGGCAAGGACACTGTCAAAATGACTTTCCTGTGTTGTAAGCCCCAGTCTGTGTGGGGGAAATATAACAACAATACCAATAAGACACTATCAACTCAGAAGTCCTCTTCACAAAAGCAGTAGAGAAAGAAAACAACTTCATTATTGAATAAGCATTAAACCAGAATGTGATATGCATCATAATCGCTAAGAGATTGCAACATCAGAAAAAAAATCTCACCCTTCATATAGCTATATATACATGTTTTCAAGATAGGTAATCATTCAATCCATCCTCAAGTAAGAGGGCTTGACAGTACTATGTATTATTACATATAGTTTATTCTTTATCACCTGGTAAGTGGGGTGACCATCTGTCAGTTAATTGGCTTTACACAAAGGAAAAATAAGATTTTCATATCTTTATGACAGGAGGTAGTTTTATAACTTGGAGTCAGGTATCGGCTAAAGTTAGCTCTTACCCCCTCTCAGAAACTAGGAGAAAGGGGTGCTATCTCACGTGGATGTTTACTTGGTTTTCAAGTCCTTGAGAAAGACTTTCCTGGCTCTTAAAGCTGACAAAATGCCCCAATCATTTTCAAAAGGACTTACGTGCATTTTAAAGAATGGAGAATGTACTCAGAATGATAAGTTTTCTAAAGCAAATGCTCTAAGAACAGAGGATGGGAAATCTCTTCCCTTCTTTTCTTTTTTTTATTTTTTATTGCTTAAAATATTACAAAGAGTAGTACATTTGTCTCCTTTTTTCCCCCCCTTGACCGTCCCCCAGCCTCCCCTACCCCCCAGTGTCTTGTGTCCATTGGTTATGCTTATATGCATGCGTACAAGTCCTTTGGTTGTTCTCTTACCCCACCCCGCCCAACCCTCCCCAGCCTTCCTGCTGTAGTTTGACAGTCTGTTTAATGCTGCTCTGCCTCTGTATCTATTTTTGCTCATCAGTTTATATCTTCCCTTATTTTCAACAGGAGAATTAAGCCTCTTATTTTAATTTCTGCCTGTCCTTATATTTGGTTGACAAGGGGCAGAACTAAAATCTGAGAGTCCTACTCTGAAGAAAGAAACCCCACTTATTTTCCTTTTCTAGGGTCTTAGTTGAATCTACTGTAGGAGAGAGAAGTGGTTGACAATTTTGGGGTCTCCCCATTTTTGGGTCATCTCAGTAAATTCATGTTTATAGTGTAGTGAGTCATGGCAAAGCTGAGCAAGAGGCGGGAACTGGAATGACTGACATTCATCTGTTTGCTAGTTTTTCAAGATAAACAAACAATGTAAGATCTATGCTAAAAACTGTTTGGAGCTCAGGCCATCCTGGTATTAAATTTTTGTTGTTTGTTTGTTTTGTGTGTTTTTTAATCCTCATCTGAGCATATTTTCTCCACTGATTTTTAGAAAGAATGGAAGGGAGAGATGGGGGCGGGGAGAGAGAGAAACATCTATGTGAGGGAGACACATTGATTGGTTGCCTCTGGCACGTGTCCCTACCTGGGCTGGGGAACCTGCAACAGAGGCACATGCCCTTGATCGGAAATCGAATCTGAGACCCTTGTGTCTGCAGGCCCATGCTCTAACCACTGAGCAGCTGGCCAGAGTGGTATTTAATGTTTTTGACCCCAGAATCAATGGTATGCTCTC